TATTAACAATTGTGAACAATAATCGACAGTAATTCTGAGTTACGAAAGCGTAAGTGCTATAACGTACTCCTCATTGCACTACCTTAATAAATTTCACCTTAGATGTCACGCGGTGCGCTGACATAAGACGGCTGAATGAATAGGTGAATTTGAACAATACTGGTTAACGGATTAGTCGTACGGTACTTACTTGTGAATCTAGGCAAAGCTGATAATTCGTACTGTTCGTTATCTGTTGCTGTCCTCAGGATAACCATTATAAGAAATAAACGTGATAATCTAATGAATAAATTCAGGCACATTGAGCAATAACGAACTATGGTATATTTATATACATGCGGCAGAATTACAATAATCACGGGGAAAAATTTGCTAAATAATTGCAAGAATGTTGGAACTATATGCCTGCATTTGGCTAAAGCCATCGGCAAACTCCGGATAATCCTTTCCTTTTTCTATTTTCTCCTAGCCGTGAATATTAATTATCGAGCAATTTGAATTCTGACGAGTTTACTATGGAACTTGATTCCTCTCCTTTGATTTATTCATGCTATTAGTTTGTCTCTTTCTTCTAGTATGCTTAGACGAGTTGCGTGTAATGCACTGTCCTTTTCTACTCTTCAAGTTATCTCTAGCTATCTATCATGTGAATAGAAGCCAGTAGGCGTGGCTATCATAATACGAGTATCTACATACGAGAAACTTATTTATACAATAATATTGTAATGGGGTTTTAGACCGCCACAATGTGATGAATAACCGAGAAGAATAGTGTGCTCGTTGCGGGTTCGTGTAAAGGTCTTATGAGATCCGGCTCTAGATTGCCAGATTGTCCAGATGCTGCAATCGCGAAAGCTGTGGAAAGCGAGTGGAGAGAAAGGATACACAAAAGAAAAGGGCAGAGCCGGTGTGTGTACAAGTGTTTTATATATATTACACAAGCGTATATGGCTGTGTAGAGAGAGAAGCAAGCTAGACAGAGATAGAGACGTAAAGAACGGTCGATACTTACATATGACGTAGCCGTCGTAGCGGACCGATAGGCTGGCAATATTGCAATCACACTATCAGCAATAATTTCTTAAAGTACGCAGTGACACGCACGCTTACACAGTTCCATGCACGACACAATGCACTACATACGAAGAATGTCACTCGGGAAGCCACACGGCGAAATCGGAGAAAAAGGGCACTCTATATTTCCTATGACGACTGATACACTTGAAGGAGGCTATTCTCAATGTCTCGTATCCTCCAGAGCTCGCTTAGGAAGCCTTTTTTTCTATTGGGAAGATAACACACGGTATCTTCTGTATTTGTTGGATGTCGATGCTCGAGTGAGTAGAAAACATGACCGATCTCCTTTTTGCGCCTCAACTCTTACGCAACACATGTCCTAATTTCATCGCCGATAAGTGCTGCCCCCACAAGCAGTCCCACCGACGAGACGAGTACGCGAATATAACGTTCATCGTTACAGTATATAATAATGTAAAGGTATATAAAAAGACATTACAAGCTATCGTCTTTTCGCGCGTACAATCGTAAAATGTATTTGAATTACTTTAATTATGTTAACGCAGAGGTAACAATGAATTACACAAAGAAGCTTTGCATATATTAATATGAATGTATGTTCGATTAAATATAAGGCGGGATAGAGCAGTCGACTCATATACAATTTTAATGTGTCCAATTTTATACGCATCAAGTGAAAGTTCGAAAATTATTGATATAAGCGTTATCGATCATATGTCTATAATATTATAATTCTAACTTCGCTGAAAAATCTTTCGCTGTGACGTTTCTTCAGTTTTGAGTATTGGAATTCTTCATCTTATTTACCTTGCACACGCCACTTCACTCGCAATCTAAACAAAGTCGCCGGCGTGTGTCTAGCTGGCAGCGCCTTGCAAGATTTCAATTTCACGATATTGATCTTCGTTAGCATAAATCTTAGAGCTAAAGAGAAAAAGGTGGAGAAACTTACACTGTGGGTTGATTTGACCCAATCCACTGTATTCTGTTGCTCGCGATGACTTCCTCGAGCACGGATAGAGCGTCGTGCCGTCCACTGCAAGTCAAAGCATAGAAATCGTCAATTTAATGATAAAGCGAGAGTGGATAATTCTGCAATCGGACGTAGAATAAAATACACGAGTAGATAGCGGAAAAACAATTTTATTTATTTTAGTTCCTGTAGTTATATCGCCAAGGTGCTGATTACGAGATCAATAATAATGATGAACCCTAAAAAGAATGTTTTATCTAGCAAAATCAAAGAAATAATTAGAATTCTTTTAAATTAATTTTAGCTATTTTGTAAATAAAAATGTTGAATAAATAAATTTTAATCTTATTATCTCTACTTTTACATGTCATGCATTTTATTGAAAACATTTAAACAACACCCCTCATTGAGTTTTGTTCCATACGGTTACGGCTTAGAATTTAATACACAAAAGGATCAACGACACTTATAAAGTCCTCAGATTTAAACTAAAACGCTAGGTAAAGATCATAGGCACCAGGCGTGGTTCATAACTTATATGAGGTATCAGCTCAAAGTCATAGTTTGAAAACGCACGAGTATCAATGACGATCATAAGCCAAGGTGGCGATTCGAACCCTAACGCGACATAAGTTGTAACTAAGGATAATAATCCTTAGTTGTTATTTAATTTACCGACATCTGTTATAAAGAAACATTCGAAGTTTATACTATTCGTAGGTACGAGGTCTGTCCGGAAAGTATCGGGCCTACGTTTATATCTTCGCGCCATAGAGTTCGAGCGACCTCTACCGGATAGAAACGTCAACAGTAAAGCCTTACGAATCTATTGGTTACTAACTGACACCTGCCGGACGTATAGTTCATGCGCAGCGTGTCTTTGTTTACAGTGCCTTTTTCGCATTCATCAGATTTTGATATTGTCAAAAATGACTGAAAAACAAGATCAACGAATTTGCATCAAATTTTGCTTTTACCTCGGAAAAACGAGTTCGGAAACTATTAAAATAATGCAAAAGACCTTCGGAAGCGAGTGTATGAGCAAAACATGAATAAAAGAGTGGTATAAACGGTTCAAGGATGTTCGCACTTCTGTCGATAGTGATTCTCGTTCCGGCCGACCTTCGACGACAAAAACCGCAGATAATATTGAGCGGGTGCGACTTGCAATCGAACAAGATCGTCGTATGACTGTGCTATAACTAGAAGAAGATCTTGGGATACCAAAAACTATAATTTCAGAAATTTTAACCGAAAATTTAGGAATGAAACGCGTGTGTGTGAAATTCATCCCAAGATTGCTCACAGCAGAGCAGAAGAAAATTCGTTTAGAAATCGCTCTGGACAATCTGGAAATGGTCAATAATGATGATAATGTGCTTAGAAAAGTTATTACAGGTGATGAATCATGGGTTGATGGTTATGATCCTGAAACAAAACAACAATCTTCACAAGATTGTTGTTTTGTTTTGTTGATTGTTGTTTTGTTCGCCAAGACCAAAAAAAGCACGTCAAAGTCGGAGCAATGTTAAGTCAATGTTGATTATTTTTTTCGATTGTGATGGTGTTGTACATCACGAATATGCACCAACAGGTCAGACAATCAATAAAGAATACTACGTTCAAATTTTAAAACGTTTGCGTGATGCAGTAAGAAGAAAACGGCCGCACTTTTGGGAAAGTGGTAACTGGCTTCTCCATCACGATAATGCGCCAGCGCATTCATCCAATCTTGTGCAGCAGTTTTTGAGCAAACACAATATCGCATTGCTTCGACAACCTCCATACAGTCCTGACATAGCCCCTTGTAACTTTTGGCTGTTTCCAAAACTAAAAAAACCACTCCAAGGACACCGATTCGATGACAAAACAACGATTGAAAACAATGCGACGAGTGTACTTAAGGCTATCCCTAAAAGTGAGTTCCAGGACTGTTTTGAAAAGTGGAAATATCGATGGAACCGTGTTATTCAATCAAGTGGTGATTACGTTGAAGGATACCACCCACCAGATGATAAAGAATAACGCTAGCACGAAAATATAAAGGTAGGCCCGATACTTTCCGGACAGATTTCGTATACTATTCGTAGATAGAAGCTCCCAAACATGCTTCTGTCTTAGAAATTGAAAAATTTCTACATGGAAAGCTTCGAGCTTAGAACTGTTCATTTTACGTATCAAGCTGCATTTTATAACATTTTTTTTTTAATAATATAATTGTTTGTTTTATTTTGAAATTCAATGAATTTATTTTTCCAAAATACTTGTTTTAAATACTTGGTTAGATGATTGCGGGAAGTAATAGGGGGGGATAGAGAATAGCTGCACCAAAATAATTTCTCATGTTCTTATAAACATTTACTAGTTTGTTGACAAAGCAGCTATGAGTAATAACTTGTTGACCAATTTGAACCAAACAACTATCCCATCATAAACAAGCAATGACAAGTTTTCTAAAAAGTCCTATCATGTATTAGACGGAAATAAAAATTATCTAGTAACCACCTAACGATTCAAGATTTCCCGGATTATACTTTAGCTTGATAATGAGTTCCGCGTCACTATTTCAAAACATATCTAAAGTATAGCGAAACTCATTAACAACATAAATTTAGAAAAAAAGTCTAAATTTTTTTTTCAAAAAGTTTAAGATTTAATTTTTGAAGGTAGTTACAAAAAAACTCTGTTAATAGACTATAAGTACTCTTCTAAACGTGTATTTGTTTATATAATTTAATTAAAAAATATTTCTATGTTTTTATCACTTATATTAAAACTCAACGACTCTCGATCTTACATCATCCGCAAAGAATATTGGCATCCATTTTTTGATTATTTTAATCGATTATAGATAATAGAATTACGCAATATAATTAGGATTTATAACATTAAAATGATCGATTATTTTTATTATTATATAGTAGCAGACCATATTGATAACTAAAGTCTATATTGACTATCTAACTCAATTGTTTTCAATATATTTCAGTTAACTTCATACGGTATAACCTCAGGCCACAATTCGAATTTATATCCAGAACAACGTAACTGGAACCAGGTTTCTAATACTTCCATTTCAACATTAACAAATCAAATGAATACTTCAAATCAATCTCCGCAACGTGCTTTGTCCCAATCGCCTGCTCCACCAACTGCTTCGTCACCACAACCTCAATCTTCTGCACCACAGGTATGTACTAAAAAATTCTAATGGGGTTTGGGACTTAATTTTTTTCTCAAAAACTACATTCATTATTAAAATTTTCCTGAGAATAAAAATATCTTAAAATCAAATAAAGAATATACTCAAATTTTTTCAGAACTTTCCGATATGATTTTTAAATTTACAATCTTCGAAATTTGACTTCGAAAATTCAAAAATTTCTTCGGACGATTCTGCAAAAATTCTGAAGTATTACTTGATTGCTTCTAAGATATTTACAAATGTTCATACTTTTCCAGAAAAAATTTGTGAATTTACAAAAAAAAAATTTCCATTCCGGCCGCCATTTTGTTTAACAAAAAAATTTTCATGTTCGGAAAACCTTACTTATTTTTAGTTCAGATATCTAAAGCACGATCTAGAGAGATTTTGGACATATTAAAAAATGTTAAGAGAACAAACAGTCGACTTAAATATTCAACCGAAAAATCTAGTTTTTGTTTATTTTTGAGTTCGATGGAAAAATTTTTTTGCGAGACTTTTAACGAATACTAATAAAAAGAGCACCCTCGGAAACGTTAAGAATCCTGGTTTCTAAATTTTTTTGTTCGAATTCATTGCCTGGCAACTATTCAAACGTAGCTCTCGAAAAAGTGTCCTGTCGGCGTTATGGGTTAATGGGTTAATCCATTAACACCCAAGCGGTCGTAGTTGGACACTCGAGAAAAAATTAACTTGTGGCGATTTCGACCTATAATATCGATATCTTATAGATCAAATTTGCTGGTCTTTCAAATGTCGGTCTTTAATTTTAGCAATCACCCTAAGGGGTGAATATGGGAGTTAAATGAAGAAAAATCGTCAAAGAAAAACATTATTAGACAAACCTAGTAAAAAAATATTTGCAAGACCTAAAATCTATTGTTTTTTATCTGCTTTATTGCAAAATTAGCGATTTGTGCTCTTTATGTAATATAATTTAATTCAAAATCCTTAAACAAGCGATAAAATCAAGTATTTTGATGAAAAATGAACAAACAATTTTTTAATATATGTTCTTTGTTTTTATCGCTAAATAGTAATTTTTATTACCTAAATATATGAATGATTCTACAACAATCCTTGTAAAAATGAAAATATATCTCGAATACGCGGTGTGTTCAAAAAGTAAGGTGACTTTTCAAATTTCATGGGCAACGTACTTTCGATTATCGATTTTTTTGTTTTGTTATGTTGGTACATTCTTCCCGAACAACTGTACCAAGTTTCAAGTGTATAGCATTTTTTGTTTGGTTGTGAGAGGCGTAAAGGTTATAAGTGTTTTGCGTGCTCGGCGTTTTCTTGCTATCGAAAAATATGGATCAAAGGATTTGCATCAAATTTTGTGTAAAAAATAAAATAAAGTGCTCCGAAACACTTGAAATGTTGTCGGTGGCATACGGTGAAACTGTTCTGAGTAAAAAAAATGATTACAAGTGGTACAAACTCTTCCAAGATGGCCGGGAAGATGCCAATGACGAGCCTCGCTCTGGACGCCCAAGCACGTCAACAACTGATGAAAACGTTCAAGCAGTGCAGAAAATTATTCTGGAAAATAGTCGAATCACTATCAGAGAAGTTGATGAGGATGTTGGTATATCGCTTGGCTCGTGCCATGAAATTTTTTCTAACGTTTTGGGCATGAGACGTGTGTCAGCGAAGTTTGTTCCGAAATTGCTAAATTTTGACCAAAAGAACCGTCGCATGAGCATCGCTCAAGAACTGTTGAATGACGTCAACGACGACCCAGATTTATTCAGAAGGGTCATAACTGGTGACTAATCATGGGTATATGGTTATCATATCGAAACCAAAGTCCAATCGCCCCAATGGAAGAGCCCAGATGAGCCAAGACCGAAAAAAGCACGCCAAGTTCGATCAAATGTCAAAGTTTTGCTCACTGTTTTCTTCGATTACCTTAGCGTGGTGCATCAGGAGTTCTTACCATATGGACGTACGGTCAATAAACAGTATTATCTTGAAGTTATGCGCCGTTTGCGAGAAGCAATACGAAGAAAACGCCCAGAATTGTGGAAAAACAATTCATGGCTTTTGCATCACGATAATGCCCCTGCTCACTCATCTTTGCTTGTGAGAGATTTTTTGGCCAAAAACAACACCACAATCATGCCTCAGCCACCATATTCACCGGATTTGGCCCCATGTGACTTTTTCTTGTTCCCAAAACTAAAGAGACCTATGAAAGGACGGAGATTTGCAACGATTGAAGAGATAAAGACTGCATCGCTGGAAGAGCTCAAGGCTATACCGAAAAGTGCTTATGAGAAGTGCTTTGAGGATTGGAAAAACCGTTGGCATAAGTGTATTGTATCTGAAGGGGATTACTTTGAAGGGGACAACATAAATATTGATAAATAAATAAATATTTTTTCTTAAAAATACAAAGTCACCTTACTTTTTGAACATACCCCGTATATGGATGAACATTATTTGCCAGATTTCCTTATCGAAAGCAAACGTTAGTAAACATTTCATTTATGAAGAAAATAAATTTTCAATCTTATATCAGGGATGTATTTACGTTTTGACGTATTTGGGGTTTTTAATAGTTTTTTAAAATCAAAGTCAAAGAAAGCATCTCCGAAATTTCGAAAAAACGAGAATAATAATCGGTGGTTATCATGTACCACTTTTTGCATTTGAAAAAATCGATGCCTATCTTTTGCCAAAGTCTATCGGGAAAATTTTCTTTTACGAAAGGTTCCTTTATATTTCTGCGCTTTTCAATACAATTCGGACAAAACTCGATCAAATTTTTTAATTGTAAACTTATGCCTAACCACCACACTGATTGTTTTGCTCTATCTCTGCATTTATTTATTCCCAAATGTCCTTCATACAACTTTGTTATTACATCGAGTTGTAGAGGAGGAGGAATCATTAACCTGTCGTTATACAATAACAAATCTTGTACATAAGAAAAACTTTCTTTTAATTGGAAATATGGTAACAACCCATCCGGCAATTGACTTTTTTTAGGCCATTTTCTTAAACAATAATCGATTAGTTTCGAACAAATAAAATCGTTTTTTTGTTCTTCACATATTCTTTGTAAATAATTTTCTTTTATAGGTAAGCTATTTATAACAAGATTTACGTAGGCTTCTGTTTCTTTTTCTAAATCATTCTCACTCTTGCTCTCAATTGGAAATCGTGAAAGCGTGTCTGCTAAAACTAACTGTTTCCCGGGAATATGAAATATGTTATAATTATAACGCATTAGCCGCATCCTTATTCGTTGTAAGCGGGAAGTAATTTCGTCCAATGGTTTCGTTTTTAAAATTTGTAAAAGCGGCTTGTGGTCGGTCTCTAAAGTTACATCGATGCCTGTAATGTAGTCTTTAAATTTATCCGCGGCAAACGCGAGGGCTAATGCCTCTTTTTCTATTTGACTGTATTTACGTTCTGTCGACGTGAGCGTTCTCGATACGTATGCTACGACTTTGCACGACTTATCGGCGTCTTGCTGCATAAGAGCTGCTCCGAGACCGTAACTTGAAGCATCGGCTTGAATTATTATATCTTTTTGGTAATCGAAGTGAGCTAAAACCGGTGATTTTAACAGTAAACTTTTCACGTTTTCGAAGGCCCTTTTTTGTGGTTCGCCCCAGACAAACGTTGTATGTATCGTCTTTTAGCAATGAGTTAAGCGGTTCGAGTAACATTGATTTGTTTGGAACAAACTTTGCCACGAAATTAACTGTACCGAGAAATTGTTGCAGGCTTTTCACGTCTTTCGGTTCGGGGAATTTGCGTATTGCCTCTAATCTTTCTGGTAAAATCTGTATACCTTTTTTAGATATTCTATGACCTAAAAAATCTATCTCCGTAAAACCAAACTCTCACTTCCATTTATTAAGTGTTACGCCTGCTTTGTCTAGCCTGTTAAGTACTATTTTTAAAATGTTGTCATGCTCCTCTATCGTGTCTGCAAAAATCATGACATCATCCACATAACATATTACATTTGGTAAATCCGCAAATAACTCCGCAAACATCTTTGAAAAATAATCGGACGCACAATTTATACCGAATGGCAAACGCGTGCCTTTGTATCTTCCGTAGGGAGTAATAAAAGTAGTCAAAATTTGGCTTTCTTCCGATAATTCTACTTGATGGTAGCCCGCATTTGCATCTAACTTTGAGTAATATGTTGCTCCTCTTACTCTAGCTAAGGATACGTCTACTTTTAGAATCGGATATACGCTGCCTTTTACGCTATCATTTAAAATCGTATAATCGCCGCATACTCGAATATCGTCACCTTTAGTACAACTACAATTGGGCTACACCATTCTGTCGGCTCGTTTACGGGGACGATAACGCCTTTCTTTTCTGATTTGTCTAGATTATCTTTTAGTTTTTTCAATAAAGGTATAGGCACAACTTGTGGAGTAGTTACCGCGTGCGGCTGAGCATTATCTTTCAATTGTATCGTTAATTGCGTTTAAATCGTCCTAATCCGTTAAAAACTCGAGGATATTTTTTTATCGAATCGAATTTACAATGAGATTTTTTTGCGCGATTTTCCATGTTCAGAGCATTTACAACTTTTATTAGATCAAATTGTTGAATATCAGGTTTACCTAATAAATATCTATCTAATCCTTTGTTTACATACGCTTTAATATTTTTTATAACATTTGCTCTTTTTAATTTTAAATAGATAAAACCTACTATCAACATTCTTTTGCCATTAGCGCTGTAAATAATTTTATCAGTATTTTGAATCTTACTTAGAAGTTCGCGATTTATGTTTTTATACGGAATGCAAGAAACATCTGCGCATGTGTCTATACTAAATTCAATAGTTTTACCGCAATTTAGAACCTCGAATTTTGATGTATAATCGTGAGAACTACTTTGTTTATGTTTTACCGCGCCGATGAACTGGGCGTTGAAAATATTGCTTTCCTCCTCTTCCTCTGAAGACTCGCCTTGTACAGCGTTGACGTTCTTGGAACGGC